CTTTCTCCTTCTCCTTCTCCTCTTCTCTTCTTCTTCTCATTCTCCTTATTCTTTCTCCTTCTCTTCCTTCTTCTCCTCCTCCTCCATACCAGGGGGCATGTCTGCTTGCTGGAGAGAGACAGAGAGAGAGAAAGTGAGAAAGTACTCCCTATTGGAGTGGCCACACCACAATTCCTTCTCCATTGCGCTCTCCTTCTGGGATTTTGGGCACACACATACACACACGTACAAGGCTGTTGGTCTGGGACTTGAACAGCATGTCAGCCTTGTGAGATCTAGTTTCTTTAACCACAGGGTCACAGGACCAGCCCTAAAGCAAAAACAGTTTCTGAAGAGGATAACAGAAATCAGTCTTGAGCTGTCAACGGGAAGGAGTATTCTTTCATTATGCTGCTTCCTTCATCTGGAATATTCTTCTCATTTCCACCTTCATTCTGACAATGGCACTCTGTGCTATCAATCCTCATTCCCTGTAGACTGTAGACATCGAAGGTCAGACAGCAGAGGACTCCCACAGTACAGTGCAGGAGGAGGACCTGAGCCGCTGTGGGCCTCCCAGGGTCAGGCTGCAGGACTCCAGATGTGGACTGGAATTTTCTTCTCTGTGGTGGGATCGAAACAGTCAAGGAATGAAACAGAGCTGGAAACTGGACCAGAGAGCAGGTATCCTAGAGGCCCAGATTGCACTCAGTAGAACTGTGGAGCTCTGAGGTTATCCAGAGGCCCTGACCATGAAGGAATCTAGAGTTAACAGGAACACAGGATCAGAGAGAGGCAATGCAGACACATGCATGTCAGGAGCAACGGGGAGACACAGTGGGAAGAGGTACTAAGTTTGCTGAAGGTGCTGTTCCTTATTTGAGTAACAGATCACCCTCCATCATGGGAGTGGGCTTCCCCCAATCAGAGGAAGCCCTGGACAGTACAACACAACACTGGGCTCCCAGAGCAGGCGGGAATTCTTCAGCAGAGTCCTTTGGATGCCCTCTATGCCATCACCTCTCCTGGGTCTGGAGCTTGCTGGCCCATATTGCAGAGTTGATCTTGCCTGTCACCATAACTGTGCATGCTGCTTTCTTATCTTCACCTCCCTTCTGTAGATAGACACATCGTATTGGCTCTGTTTCTCTGGAGGTCCTGAGTAAAGACAGAAGATAAGGAATTAAAGGTCTTTATATAATTATCAGATCTCAAAATCTTTTTAAAAAAGAATAATTTGTTCAATTTTATTTATATCATCATCATTATTAGTTAATTTGACCAGAGAGAGACTAGGGGCGGGGGAGTGAGAAAGCAAGTCGCCAGGTCTGGGACTCAAACCGTGGTCCGCCATGTGGGGGTCCAGCACCCCAACTATCATGCCACCTACTGGCCCTTATATCTTAGAATCTTAAAAAATACTTCAGAATTTTCTTTTGCAAAGGAGGAAATTAATAATGTCTGTAAGCCCATGTATTCAAGATAATTAAGTCAAAACACAGGGTTTTTGGTAAATGAAAATTTATTTCCTATAATCATACCATAGAAGTATGAAAAACATTTACTGACATAATTTCTACCCAATACAAGTGATAGTAGGTCTAAATATAACCTAAAACCTCTCAACAACACTTACTTATTTAATTCTGTAAGATTGGAGCCAGGACTAACAGCTGCACCTAATAACTACCCAGTTATTTCTTTGAAATTATTTCAGGATGATAAAGACTGTTAAAATGTTGAAACTTGGCCTTCATTTATTTGTGTGACATTGTGCTGATATTATTTGAAGTGATACATGAAGTGGATCTCTCAATAAAGAGTGTGCCTTTCTTCCCAAGCAGTGACAAAGAGGAATGCCCTTGGACTTTGGTACTGGTCATACTCCAACTCAAACTAATTAGCTTTCTGTCCATCCACACATATTAAACGTGCTTACTCCCCATTTGAAAATGGAAACAAAAATAACTTCCTTGTGGGAGCTAGGGAGATTAAATTGAGTAAATGTGTCAAAGTGTCCATGAGAAGGCCAGGCACACAGTATTTTGTTTGCTTACTTTAAAAAAAATTAATTTATTGGGGCCAACAGACGGCATGGTGCTTAAGGCTTTGGACTCCCACATGGTCAAACCATAGTTTGAGTCCCAGGCCTGGCAGCTTCCTTTCTCCACTTTCCCTCTCTTTCTCTCTGGTGAGTGCATGTGCCTTGTAGCAAATTTTTAAAAATAATAATAAATACAATAAAATTATTTTTTAAAAATTAATTTATTAAGGGAGCAGTAAGAAAATGGCTGACACAGAGAGGTAGCTTAGATAGGGTCTCACCAGACTGTGATACTCCCTCCACCCTCCCAGCCAGCCAGGATCACAGATGTGAGGGCTCGCCTGATGTGTTCAGGCTGATCCAGTATCCAAACCAGGGCTTCCCATATGGCTCCAACATTATGCAGACATGTCTCACTGAGTGCAGACTGCAACTGGGTCACACAGTGTGTTTTTTGTTTGCTTGTTTTTTAATTGCCAGAGGGTGTATGCATTTGTCAGAGAGAGAGAGAGAGAAGGAGAGAGAGAAAGCACCCCCCCCTTAGTGGGGTGTGGTCATGCCACAATTCTGTTTCCTTTCTCCTTCATGTCAGAATTTTGAGCACACATGTATGCATGCGTAGATAGGATGTTTTTCAAACCATGGAGTCTGGGATTGGAGCCATGTTCAGCCATGTGGGATCCTGCTCCCAATGTGCAGTGTTCAAGCACTGTACTACAGGACTAGCCCTACTGTGTGTACCTGATAAGTCTAATTTCCTTTTTTGTTACAGTTTATAAACATTTATAACTTTATAATTCATATTTCTGGGTGAGTTATAGAATTCAGAATGTGTCTTGAAGCAGAAAGCTCTAAGATCATAAGTTCCACCCCATATTTTTATATATAACCAAACCAAGCCCCAGAAGATGCCCTTTGCAGAGTTAGCTGGAAGAAAACAGGGGCATACTTGTTTTCAGACATAAAGGGGAACATAGCAAATAACAGCTTTGTTGTTATCTAACATACCCAGCTTTGAATCCAGATACTCCTTTTAGTTTCACGACATGGGAAAAATTATATTGTTTCTCAACTGTGTTATATTTGAAAAGGGAGAAATAATACATGTCTCATGCAGTTGTAGAAGTTAAATGATGCAGCGTGTGAGAACAGAGTAATTTAGGATGTTAAAGTGGGGGTAAGTAGAGTCTGCACAGACAATTATTTGATAATAAATTTTTATGTAAAAATATCTGGTGTTTTCTTTCACTTGAAAGCCACCCAAGTATTAGAATTTTAAAAGTCTTACCTGAAAATCTTCTTGAAGCATTACTTGAAAGTAATTATGAAAACAATGGTTTACACAACATGTGAATTCTAGTTTAGTAGGAAGCTGGGTTTTTTTTCTTTTCCCTGAAAATGTAAAGCAACATAAAATAAGCATCGTAAGTATGTTTTGGGCTGTTGACATATGAGTGAGAACATCTGCAGAGTTGTTTCCTCGGGTTAAGAAAAAGTCTTATGTTCATATTTTCAACTTCTTTTTTTTTTCTTTTAAGAGAAATTTTTTTGCTGTAGGGATGTGTATGCTCACCAGAGAGAGAGAGAGAGAGAGACAGAGAGACATAAAGTGAGAAGTCACCCCGAGAAGGGATAGCCACACCACAATCCCTTCTCCTCCATTCTCCTCTCAGTATTGTGGGCACACATGCACATGCACCTGGTGTGAGTTTAAGCCATTGGCCTTCAGGACTCAAATCATAGTCACTACATGGGAATCCAACAACATAACCATTACTCTATCTGCTGGTCCCCATTTTTTAAACCTCTTTCATTAAATCTATGGAAAATTACTCCGCCATAAGGGACAATGAAATCCTGGCAATTGATACAAAGTGAACGAATATGGAATATTTAATGCTGAGTGAAGCAAGCCAGACTATGAGAGAGGCATTGTATGTCCCTGCTTAATATCTACCAAATGTCTGTGCTCTACGACAGAAAATGAAAGATTGGAAGGTATAATAGCAGAGAGAGCAACTAAAGAGACAAGAATCAGTATAGAAGGGTGGGTAACGAGGGGAGGAAGCAGACCATCAAGGGGAATAAGACATTTAACAGAAACAAAATGAAAAGTGATCTGCTGATGATAATATACATGGTAATGTCTATGACTTGATTAATATGCACTGTATTCCCTCTGGGAAAAACATTTTGTATGCTGTAAAGATGTACAGTGATGAAATATAAAAGAAAAGATCAAGTAAGTAAAAACCAGATTCTCCCTCAGCTGCAGATTACCAGCTAACAGAGATTACACAGACACCATCCTTTTAGAACTTTTCATCTCCTAAGTGGCCACAGACTTTACTTCTGCTCTCCTTACAAGATTTCCACGAAAACCAACAATGGAAAAAAAAAAAAAGGGAAAATGATTGTACCAGGAAGCAAGTTAAAAGAACATAAAATATAGCCAGATAGGAGGGATACATTCTAGTGTGCCATAGCACATTAGAATGACCACAATTACCAGTTTTTATTCTATATTCTGTTAAAGCTGGGAGGGAGGATTTAAATGCTCTCAACGCAAAGTAAAATCATATATTTCATGTGACACATGCTGATTAATCCGATTCAATCATGATACATTATATTCATGTGCTGAAAAATCACATTGTGCCCCATAAATATGGAGAATTGTTATGGCCCTTCAAAACATTGCAAAGTTTAGAAGGGATATATAATATTACGATACTATTATTATTAAATATAGTTGGTCATTTTAGTAATATCTGCCTTTCAGTACACATTGATTCTCAATTTTCTTATATGAAATCTTTTCTCATTAAAAAAAATGGACATTACTAAGGAATATGTGAGCTTAAACAAACTCCTTTTACAACGAAATAGAGAATAACAAATGTCAATACTAACGGAAAACAGACACTATCATTTTTCTTTTGTATGTTCTCCTATTCTCCGTGTCGTGTCGTTCCAGGTGCCTGTGGTGGCTATACTGGGCTCCGGTGGGGGTTTCCGAGCCATGGTGGGATTCTCTGGTGTTATGAAGGCACTTTATGAATCAGGAATTTTGGATTGTGCTACCTACATCGCCGGTCTTTCTGGCTCCACCTGGTGAGTTTGCATTTTCAATGTTTGTTTTTATCCTTCTGACTGTTTAGCATTTCTCTAACTCACATATTAGAAGAGAAGAGGGAATTTGGAAAAATTGAACATAAATTTCAAATTATTGCAAGGTTTCAGCTTGATGCCACAATCCACTTAAAATGCTTTTTAAAGTCAAACTCATACTTCCTAATGATGACTTTGGTCATACATTTACTCACGTTAAGCCTCTTTGTAACTTAAAATGTCATTAAAACATCAAATAAAAAATAGAGCAATTGAAAATAATTCTAGATAAATATCACAGAAGTGGAAGAACATACTCCACCCATAATTAATTTAATCTTCCTAGAATTTGCTGATTTGTAGTCTTTCAACGAACATGTCTCAGTCTATATGATTCACTAGGTATTCATCTTCTTCTTTAGGGCAAATGGAATGAAATGCAAGATACTCTAATATACAGAAGAGGGAAAAGAGCTTTTGAATGTTGAAATGCAATACATTTCACCGATGTGTATCTAACTAAATATGAAATGATCTCTTTCGATGTATTTAAACTCAGCCTAATTTAGATGGACAGTTAAAACATCCGTGTGTGTATGATATTTGCACCCTATGGATTTGCCTTTTCATAAACGTGTTTGAGGCAAGTGGGGTTATTTATTGAATATTTTGTTTTTGCAGCCTCACAGGAGCACAATGAAAATTCAAACAAAAGCTCTTGCTCAAATGTCTCAAATAAGAGTGTCACGTTATTACAAAAGATCTGACTTTGACTTGCAAGGCCTTTTTAGTCACTCAGCAATGACCAAGCTTATGTATTGTAATTTTGTTTTACATCTAGCTAGCACTTTAAGGCTTTTGTGTCATTTTCATCTTGTGATATAGATAGGAGTTTTTTCATTTTTTTGGCCAAAGGAAATTTGAGTCCATAACCAAGTGACTTGCTGATCACCAGCAGAACCAACACATAAACTCAGGATTTTGATCCCCCATTCTAAGATTTTTTTCTCCTAAACCACAACCTTCTATGAAGAGCTGTATACCTCTATAGATTTACATTTAAATACTATATGTGGCTTAAATATTTGAGTCAGATTCTTTAGTTATAAAACAAAAATCTAGAACCATGGTTGCCACTTGTTTGTATGTACCCTAAAAATGATTTATCTCTTTTGAAAGAAGGGTGTAGGCCATCATTATTCTTTCCCTTAAAGGAAAGAGCAGGCACCTGCCTGTTTAATGAGTAATGCGATGGGAAAACTTGGACCCTTACATTAATTCGCCTACTTAATCATTTCGTTATTTTTCAACGGGTAGTTTTCTTTCTCTGTACTGTTTATTAGATTCCTGTTGTCCATCACTGACTAATGCACTGCAAGATGCCTCCTTTCTTAAACTCATCTGGTAGAGAAAGTCAGAGCCTTGAGTATTGACTTAGGGTTAAAATGGTGTCTGGGTGAGTGTAATTACAGTGGCCCCCATTGGATTGGTCCTGGATTTGGGGCAGTAGCTTCTTACAGTCGCCTTTTACTTTCTGTAAAATACAAGTAAGAGAATTTTCAATGTGCAAATATATATATATGCTTCTGCTTCATCTCTCAAAGTTTACTTCCTTAAGATGAGCTTTCCCTTTTCATTACATTTCCTTAAAGGTCACTTAGTCCTGGGACCAGCAGTTAGCATAATGACTATGTCGCTGGACTCCCATGTAGTCGACCATGATTCACATCCCGGACCCGGTGGCTTAAAACTCACGCCTGGCGCATGTACGTGCATGCCCAAGATCCCAAGAGGAGAATGGAGGAGAAGGGATTGCAGCGTGGCCATCCCCCTTGGGGGGTGATTTCTCGCTTTCTGTCTTTCTGTCTATCTCTGGCTTTCTGGCAAGCGCATGCGCCCTATAGCAAAAACCTCTCCAAAAAAAAAAAAAGGTCACTTAGTTCTAAACCTTTGCAATGGATTTTACACGTAGACCATTTGATTTTCAGATATAATAATACTTTTTTTTAGAGAGAGAAATTTTTGCTATAGGGATTGTGCATTTACCAGAGAGAGAGAGAAAGTGAGAAATCGCCCCCAGGGGAGATAGCCATGGCACAGTCCCTTCTTCTCTATCCTCCTCTTGGGATTTGGGACACACACATATGCACCCACCATGATTCAAGCTGCCACGTCCGTGTCTTGAATCACTGTTGGCCATGTGGGAGTCCAGAACCTTAACCACTCTGCCACCTGAGGGCCATGATGATGCTTTGAAGTTCTTATTTTCCTTGCCTTTGGGAAGAAACCGAATGACAGGGTGATGAGGGGGAAGAGGTTAGGGACTGGAAGATTTTAGACTTTGACTTGTACATTTCAGTTTACTCCTCTTGTGCCTTCTGGTTTTATTTATCCTGTCTAATTGCTCTCTCCTCCACATTGCCTTTACTACTTTCACTATTTTTTTTTTAAGAGAGAAATTTTTGCTGTAGGGTGTGTGCATTTGCATTGTAATTCAGGCTTTCCTCTAAGAGCTCCTGCTCCCGCCATTATATCTGCATGTCCTTCCTTGGTAATTCCACCAATTTCTATCACAATCCAGAATGTAGTTCATGGAAACCCAGGACATGCCATAATGTAATAGACAAAGGAAAGAAAACTCTGATGAATACTGCACACAAGCCACCAGAGAAGAGAAGCAAGTAAAAGATGAGTTCCAGAGAGCAAGGATGAAGAGTGCATTGGCAAAGACTGGTTTTTGGGTTGCTTGTTTTAGAGAGAGTTTTGCTATAGGGTGTGTGTGCTCACCAGAGAACAAGAGAGAGAATCAGAAAGAGAGAAAGTGAGAAATCACCTCCCACCCCAGGGGGAATGACCAGGCCACAATCCCTTCTCCATTCTCCTCTCAGAATTTTGGGCATCCGTGTACATGTACCCAGCACGAGTTTCAAAGCCTCCAGGTCTAAGACCCAACCATGATTGGCCATGTGGGAGTACAACACCACAACCACCATGTCACCCGCTGGACCCATTAGTGGGTGTTTTAATTGAGTTGAAAATCTCGGGGAACCTTGGCTTAGGACTGGTTTTGGAAAACTTTAGTTGTTTTAACAAGAACTGCTAGATAAAGTAAATAAAGGATACAGTCCATCAGGTAATTGCCAAGATTGTGAAGTGAATAGAAGATGAAAGTACGAAGATGGGAATGCGATCCTAGTAAGAGCGTCTGTTATTTCAAACAGTCTGGTTGTGAGCAGGGTCCTCATTTGCAGGGCATCCTAGGCCCTGGGAAGGATTTTTATTTGTTTTCTTATGAGACTTAAAGAGACCTGAGCATATTCAAAGTTTGAAGTGAAGGAAATAGTGTGTAGAAACAGATGGGAGATAAAGAAATAGAAGGATCCCAGGTAGAAGATGATCTAGGTGGAGACCGGACATGAGAAGAGAAAAGGCAGATGAAGGTGTTAGCCATGGAAGGAAGAGACGCTCCCTGAGACAGAAGAAAATGTGGTCAGGATGATTCACAGAACAATCCTCCCTTGAAAAATACAGGAGAGAAGGTAAAAAGTTCAAAGGAAGGAATTCGGAAAGACTTGGAAAAACAAATTACACTTCTGCGTTGTGTAACGTTTTTACCTTCTGTTGATACATAACCATCATTTGGTATGAATGAGGTAATTTAGAAATATCTGGAGAAGACTGGACCACCCAGGAGGTTTTTAGGGATCACAAAAGAGAAGTTTAGGTAGTACAAAGCTTCCCTTGTATTAGTTACTACCTTTGCGGTAATTATTTTTGAATTTATTTTTAGAGGATGCTTTTGATTCATTAAACGTAAGCCAAGCTAGAGACCCGCCATGCATGAACTAGGAGAATGCAGAGAGTAATCCAGTGTTCTCTCTCTTTTTTTTTTTTTTTTTTAGGGGTTTTTGTTTTTAGGGACTGGAGTCTCCCAGCTATAGGGCATGTGCGCTCGCCAGAAAGAGAGAAACAGAGAGATAGAAAGCAAGAAATCACCCCCCAAGGGGGATGGCCATGCCATAATTCTTTCTCCATTCTCCTTTCAGGATCTTGGGCATGCAGGCACACACACCTAACGTGAGTTTTAAGCCACCAGGTCCAGGACTCAAACTTTGGTCAACTCCATGGGAGTTCAGTGACATAGCCATTACGCCAACTGCTGGTCCCATCTGGTGTTCACTTACTCAAACTTACAACACTCTCATCTTCAGAAAGCTGTTCTTTTGAAGCATCCTTAGGGGCTATTCCAATAGTGACCTCCATGTGTGTATGACTTTACTATCCGGAAAGAAATCAGAGCAGTTCTTCACCTACAGACAAAAGAGTATTCAAGAAGTTTCAGACTAATGGTACATAGAGTTCCTGGCCTTTTTTTTTTTTTTTTTTTTTTATGTAAAAAAAGAACGATTTTAATAGAGGTCGTCAGAGGAGTGACAATCTCCATGATTAAGATATATGTCAGAACAAATTTGCTATTGGACGCTGATGACTCTCTCACTTGGCCGCTTGCCTGACTTTTCTTAGATCAATAGTCGTTCAATGACTAAATAAAGAAACGTAACTGCATTTTATGGGAAAAATGAATGTATAATGTAGAGATTTCTTTGGGGCTTCAAACATTTGCTTCACAAATGTTGAGGGTTCTCCCAAGTCATTCTAAATTTTAGTTGCATTTGAGAATCACTCCTGCACTTCCGCCAGAGGGCGTCTGCACATGTGAGAGAGAGAGAGAGAAAAATCTGAGAGAGAGACCGCTTAGTGGACCCTGGACAGATTGCAATCCTTTTCCCTCCAGTTCTCCATATTGTCAGGATCCTGGGCCTGTGTGTATGTGCTCAACCTATTTCTAGCTTACACGGCTGGAATTTGAACCCTGGTTAACCATGTGAGTTCCAGCTTTCCTTGAACAATGTCCCAGTGTTGCACTATGGGGTTGGCCCACTTCTATACTTTTTAAAACATAAACATTCTAAATGTTTCCCCTGAAGATTCTGATTTAGCAA